GTGAGGGAGTGGGGGGGGTTGGCCAGGCTGGGGAGGGGTTGTGACCCACCATTCTGTGCTGCTTATTGGTCAGGCTTTGGGTATCGGTGCACCAGCTGGAGGCAGAATCTAGGGGGAGCTGCTCCAGCTGTGCAGTGGCCATGCCTTGGGCCGGCCTGGTGCTGCCTCGTTTCTTCTCTATTGTTGAATTATAAAAATTCAGATCAATGCGTGTTGCTCCTTGCCTTGGTGCTTCCTAATGCTCACACTGGGCTGAGGGTGGTGGTGGCTGAGAGGGGAGCTGGGTGCTGGCAGAGGGGGGGCATACAGAGATGCTGTGAGAGGGGACTGCAGAGTGTGCAGGGGGAAGGATTTGAACACAGCATGAGGAAGGGGCCCTGGCATTAGTGGCGCAGAGATGGGGGCGTTTCTGGCTGGGGCAGGTGGTTGAGGGTGCACAATGGAGGCTCTAGCATGGGCTATGGGTGAGCAAAGCTTTTGGATTTTTTGGTTTTTAATTTGGATTTTTTTTTTTAAATCGTCAGTGCCGTCTGGACCTGCCCCTACATTGCTGAGCTCAGGAAAGTGAAACTACTCCTGTTCCCTAGACCAAAGGCAGCCATGGCTGCAGAGAGCCCCATGGAAAGGCTTTGGGGGGAAGCGACGCGTCCTGTCTCGCTGGAGGATTTCACAGCCCCTGTCACTCTGAAGTGTGGGCACAATTTCTGCCAGGCCTGCCTCAGCCAGTGCTGGGTGGCACCTGACCCTCTCGCCTCCTGTCCTCGGTGCAGAGATACTGTGCAACAGAGACCACTCCGGCCCAAAAGACAGCCGGCAAACGTGGTAGAACTAGCCAAGTGGCTGAGTTTCCAGGCACCAAAGAGATCAAGATGGGGCAGGATGTGTGGGGAGCATCAGGAGGCTCTGAAGCTGTTTTATGAAGAGGATCAAACTCCCATCTGTGCAGTGTGTGACAGATCTCGGGCTCTCTCAGTCGTGCCTATAGAGGAGTCTGCCCAGGAGTACAAGGTACAGAGTTGCTGTCGAGTGTAATGGGAAATAACTTTGGGTTTTAATTACAGGCTAATTTCACTGATTGTTACCTGGCACAGGTGTGATACAGCTTTCTAAAGCCTTCATGGTATGAGAAATGTAAAAAATAAATGCTCTGGCTGTGTGGCAACTTATGTCAAGTCGTTACACATACCTGTTGTGGGAATTTTTTCTCTGAGAGCCTAAATCCTGAAACCCAGTCCTTACTGGTGGCAGGAGGGATTTTTACACAAGATGCTAACTATCAGAGAGGTTTAGATCACAGGAGCTGCCGGCCACTCTTTGGGAGTGAGCTGCCTTGGAACTGGAGAAGAGGCGGTTACACACTGTTACTGATTGGATTAACAGCAGTAATAATCTGTCATTTGCCTTATAGGCCTGCAATGATATCTGGGCCCTGCACAACACCCAGCAAGGGACAATCCCTGCCCTGAGTAGGTAATAGTCTAGTTAGACAAATGGTGGGAAGGGGAAGTGGGGCAGCAAGTTGCTCTTAATCACTCTGGGCCCTGCACAACACCCAGCAAGGGACAATCCCTGCCCTGAGCAGGTAATAGTCTAGTTAGTCTAGAGCAGCAAGTTGCTCTTAATCACCAAGCACGTCAGTGATCGAGTTTAGTCCAGAACCCTGGTCTTTCCAGTCTGTCCAAGGCCATAACCACTAGGCTCCACTCCCTCCTGCCCCTCAGCATCACTGAACAGTGATGAAGTGTGGCCCTTAGGAGGGAAAGACGCCAGGCCCAGCAGGGAGAGGAGGTTTCCCACTGGGATGCTGAATTCCTGATCTGCTCCATGAGGGGTTAAACTCAGGCATTGCAGCTGGCACTAGAGGAGGTCGCTGGGCTGGATGCTGTGTGGGACCCTTGAGTTCACCCACAGCAAGGCTCCAGGCAGCGCGGGTCCATGCCAGGCACCACTGGGACTCGATTGGGTTGTAGCAAGAGTTCAAACTGGTTACCTGATGAGAGAATGCTTATCGGTGCCAGTTACCGGTTAAACTCCCTGCTGCCTTGGCAGTGCCCACTTGCCTCAGGCAGCTAATGTCAGTCTGCAACTGTTCGGAGTCTCCACCTGCTAGCGGTCCTTGTGGCCACCCCTGCAGTCGCTGTAAGGGAGCCCCGCCCCAGAAGAGCCCACATCTGCTACTGGCCCTGTCTGTCAGCAAGTTAAAAACAATGTAACTGACTAAATTGTAATCAGTTACACGATTAGTATTTTTAACCCTATTTACTGTCTTAATCCCCACCTGCATCATTCTTTACAAAGTTGCCACCAGTGATCCATCGCTCACCCTTGCAGGTATCCTGCTGCATCTGCAGTCTACTCCTGTCTCTTTTTCAATGGACAAAGCCCCATCCAGGGCTGAGTCCCTCCTGGTCAGGAACAGCTCCACAAAACTGGGACTTTGCAGCTTAAAGGCAGACAGATGGGTTCCCAATATCTCATGGGGTTTGCCCTGGTGCTCATTTCTGTTTCTTCAGGAAAAAATTGAAACCCTTTTGAAGACTCTGAGAGAAGACAGAGAAAAGCTGCTGCAATGGAAAGCAACGGGAGAGGGGAAAAGCCAGGAGTGTATGGTAAGTGCCTGTGGGTATGAACTGGCAGGGACTGGCAGTGGGAGGATTGTGTTAGGAGGCAGACTCCTATGTGGCTTGGTGAGGTAGGGCTTGTTTGTATTTCTCCTGGATCATGGATTGTTGGTTAGATCCATGTGTAGACAGGCCCTGAGCCTGTGGATAAGTTAATGTTCTAGGGACAGGGACTTTCCCAGAAATCCTCCCCAAGGCTGCTGAATGCCCCAGTGAAGGGCTGTCTGCGGTGTCTGGTCGCTTTGTGCATTAACATGTTTGTTTCTTTTTCCTCCCTGGATATCTCTGTCCATGTGGGACTGAGTCCTGCCTCCTGTGCTCTGGGTCTGAACACCTAGTACCTATCAATAACAGAACATGCTGTCCTGGAAACATCCTTTTCAGAGGGTCACAGCTGCCAAAGGGCTTGTACCCACAGAGTAGAATCAAATTTCACAAATTGTAGGGTTTTCCAAAAAGTTCTGCCTGCTGCGGACTCAGCTCCCCATGAAAGGGCCCCAGCTCCATCTATGTCCCTGACCAGCCCTTTCCCTGTTTTCATACAGAAACAGACACAAAGCAAGAGGCAGAAGATTGTGGCCGAGTTTCAGCAGCTGTTGCAGTTCCTGGGAGAACAAGAGCGACTCCTGCTGGCCCAAATGAAAAAGCAGGAGGAGGAAATTGTGAGGCTTCAGACTGACACTATCAGGAAATTCTCAGCACAGATTTCCCATCTCAGTGAGCTGATCGGGGAGCTGGAGGGGAAGTGTCAGAAGCCCGCAAGTGAATTCCTCCAGGTGAGACTCTGGGAGAAACATCCCAGCTCTCCACACAGGGAAGAGAGGCTCCTGAATCCCAAGCTCTGGGATCCAGTAGTCAGATCTGGGTGTAACTCGGCGTGTGCATTGCTGATATGTGAGTGATACTTGAGCTCTGCACAGTTACAGAGATATTAGAGATGGCAAAGCCCCATTTGCTCAGGGGGCCCTGGGGCCAGGGCAATGTTTCTCTTCCCCATTTTGCAAAATTTCTTCCCTGGGATCCCCTCTGTGTGTGTCCAATGGAGCTGAGATTCTTTTCTGTCTCTTTTCTCTAGGATGTCAGAAGCACCTTGAGGTACGTGGTCACTCCACTCACACTGCAGAGAGCAGGGAAAGAGCTTGGAGCTGATGTTAGCACCACATCTCCCCAGGGCTCTACAGCCAGATGTTGGATACACATCCCTGAGTTATTTAATTCTGAGGGTTTCACCCTCACACAGAAGACTCTGAAATTCCCCGTTCAGAGGCACAGTCTCAAGTGATTCCTAGATCTGTCACCTCCCTGGGGACTGGCTGCCTCGGGTCTGTGGGGATGGAACATGGGCCTGTCACTATTAGGCACCATTCAGCCAGGGTAGCAGGGATCAAGAGTCTTTCCCCCCAAGGTCTGTTTAGAGATTGGTATAGAACAAGCTGGGGGGAAGGGGAGTGGAGGGGGGGAGAGGAGAGTTGGTGTCTCAATTTAGTTCCTAGTGGGCAGATTTCTACGGCCCTTCATCTGGGAACCTCCTGTCCCTCAGCACCTGGAGGCCAAGGAATGAGTTGGGCATGGAGACTCCATTCCCCTTTTGTCCCCCAGCTGGTCTTTTCAAGCCAGAGGTAAAGAACAGTAATGGGACGTTTCAGGGTAACATTGCACAGCGATGGACTGTGTTGCCCTTGCTCTCAGGCTGGGAGAATTGGAGGAATTCTAACCTGCAGGCCTGGTAGAGCTGAGACTCATAAGCCAGAACTTATAATCAGTCAATGAAACACAATCACATGAAATTGTTTCTGTGCAGGTGTGAAACAGGGCAGTTCCAGCAGCCAGAGGAGATTTCTCCTGAACTGGAAGAACAAGTCAGTGGTTTCTCCCAGAAAATGATTGAGCTGTTGGAGACTCTGAGGAAGTTCAAAGGTACCTAGAAGGGATGGAGGAGGGGAAAGTGGTTTAAGAATCTGAGACTATTGAATCTGGCCGATGGAGCCAACCTTCCCCTGCCTCGATTCCCACATGGAGAATGACGGCCCCATCGTGCTGCTCTCCGTAGAGATGCTGAGCGAACAGACCCAACTGCTTGCAACTGGAGCCAGGAGTTTGCAAACTCTGACCCTCCTGTTAGTGTCAAAGGGATCAAAATGGGTAAAGTTATTGTCATGGCAACATCTTCCCTGAGTGCAGGTCTAGGTTATGACAAGTGGCAGTAAGTGAATGAGAGAAACCAAATGGGAGGGGATGAGGAGGGAAAAGAAAATCTCACTTACAGCTTGTCTCTCCTGGGACGGGTGTGAGGCTGCAGGGATGTTGGTTCCATTGCTGGGAAATGCCTGAGTGAGAGGAAATAGAAGGTTTCAGATTTTTTCATATTAAACAGCTAAGTGTCTCTGTCTGGTTTCTGATATAATTGAAATGCAGGGTCAGAGTGGGGAAATTGTTATAAAGATGAGAGCCTGGAATCTCACCTCTCTTATCCCTTCCCCCACCAGACACTCCACCCTCTGCACTGGAGAGAGCAAGAGAAAAATCCCTGGGAGCTTTCAGACAGGGTGGGTTCGCAGGTGGAGATGGTCTTTAAATGATAAGAAAATTCCCATTAAAACATCTTCATGGGATTGTATTTAAAGTTACCAGCCAAACCCACAGTGACCACGGCACTCACAGCCCTAAATCTAACCAACTGATCAGTTGATCAGTGAGGAGGCCCAGGGTTAGGGGACCTGCAAACCACTTTGAGAAGCACTGGACTGTGGGACGTGATGCTAAAGGTGTGAAGTTAAAGCACAGAGACAGCTCCGTCAGTCTCAGATTTCACTGCTCAGTTCAGTTTCAATATGGAGTTGGTTTCAAACAATAAATAGGCTGAGAGCTGACTGGCTTCCGCTATATCAGTCTGTTCATGGTGAGAAACTCTGGATCCCCAAGGGCTCTTCAGTAGTGCAGGCCTGGGCAAAATGCGGCCCATGGGCCAGATCCAGCCTGCCAAACCACCGGATCCGAACTGCAGATGCTGGGGGAGCCCCAGGCAGGCTCCCTGCTTACTGCGCCTCATCCACGTGTCAGTCGGAAAGAATCTGCCAGGCCATTTCTCTTAAACTGTGAGCCCGGAGGGGAGGGGAGAAGACTTCAGGTGCTGTTACCAGCCCCAGCACAATCCTATTAATAGAATCATAGAACCATAGAGCTGGAAGAGACCTCAGAAGGTTGTCAACTCCAGCCCCCTGCTCTAGGCAGGACCAATCCCAACTAAATCAACCCGGCCAGGGCTTTGTCAAGCCGAGACTTAAACACCTCTAGGGATGGAGACTCCACCACCTCCCTAGGTAACCCATTCCAGTACTTCAACACCCTAATAGTGAAATAGTTTTTCCTAATATCCAACCTAGACCTCCCCCACTGTAACTTGAGACCATTGCTCCTTGTTCTGCCATCCGTCACTACTGTGAACAG